AACCATCCTGTCCAGTATTAGCAAGCCAGGCATGACTTCAGGTGGGCAGGGGACAGCCAGTATGGGGGGCTGGCAACCCAACCTGGAGTTCCACAGGGGCAGATGCTTCCTATGAGTGGTACTCATAAGCCAGACCTGAATCACATGGCCACCCCTGGAGCCAGAGAGGAAGGTCAACCCTACCACCTGCATAGAGAGGAAAGGGGATAGCTCCCAAAGGAAAATCAGGGTGGCCACTAGAAGAAGGGGAACAGAGGTCCACTACAACCTGACTCCAACTGCCCCTGCTTTGTTTTACTGCAGTAACTAAAGTAACAGATGGCAATATCACCTAGGTCCTTCTACCTATATGACCCTGGGCAAGTCACTTACTTTCTCTAAACCTCAGTTCCTCTCCAAAAGAAGCAGTTCATAAAAAGAATCTGCCAACAAGATTATTGGAAATACTAAATGAAAAGACACAGGGCTCAGTGTTGGCAGAATACTAGTAATACTTACTAGAATCATTATTGTGATTGTTATAAAGATTATCTCTTCTTCAGTTGAGATGTCTGGATCCCATGGCTTTCTAGGTAAGACTGATCTCCTAATACCTTCCAAGACTCTGATGACCTCATTGCAGAGGCTGTAGCTGCCATCTCAGTTAAGAAGCTGAGACCTAGCTGCCATCAGCAGATAGGAATGGAATTGCCCACTGGGTCTGAGGTAAATTTCTTCATGCTTAACCTGCCGAAGTGATCCAGACAGGCCAGCAGTAGCCTGTCCTGGCCAGGGGAAGAACCCGAGTGCTGCAGGCAGCCCCACTCTGATCCAATTAGTCCTCTCTGGTGGCTCCCAGCCAGGCTTGCTGCAAGTTCTGGTGACACAAACTAGCCTCTAGGGCTAATGGGCCTGACAATGTCCAGCAGCCTGAGATGGCCCCATCCCCTCAGACACTGGAGGAAGGGAAAGCCTGGGTGTCTGGATCCCTCCCTTCTCCAGCTACTCTGTGACGACCTGGAGGAACCCATTTCCCTCTCAGGAAACACCCTATTCTCTCAGCCTAAAGGGATTTCAGGTTCCTTGGGAGGGGTCAGAGGGTACAAGGGACATCCTCAAGGCAGAAGGCAAGGGAACTGCTTGAGTAACAAAGCTGTCACTTAGAGAGCACTTCCTCCACCCAGGTGCATTCTTGAATTTAATCTTCACTAAACTAGAGACTGTGATGGCCCTGTGTGAGGAAACCAAGGCTGAGAGAGAACCGGGTCCACAGTTCCATAGCATAACCCAGAGGGTACACCAACACCCCCACTTTCAACAACTGGGTCATACAGACTCCCAATTCCAGGCCAGAGGAGCCTCTGCAAGTGGAAGGGTGTGATTACAACTGGAGCTACTATAGACTAAGGGCCTCCTGGGAGGAAAGTCCCCCTGAACACCCTGGTGCAGACAGGGAACAGGCCTACCTGCCTGCTCATGGATCCACCAGAGAGAGCACTGGCTGGTGAGTAGAAAAAGAAACTCTTTTAAGCCATGGAAGCCTTCTTTCTCCATCACCTTGGCTGAGCCAAACCCAGGCAGGCTGCAGATCAGAACAGGGAGCACCTGGGACTTGGGTACACCTTGAGCTAAAAGAGGCTATGTCTAGAGCAGAGGCTGGCAAACTGCAGCCTACAGGTCAAACGCAGCCAATCACATGTTTTTATTGAGTTTACTGGAACACCACCACATTCATTCCTTTATTGTCTATGGCTACTTTCTCACAATGAAAGCAGAGCTGAGTAGTTGTAATGGAACATACAGCCTGCAAATCTCAAAATATTTACTATCTGGTCCTTTACAGAACTGCTAACCAGTGCTCAAGAATTGATCAAAGTGGTTAAGAATGTGGACCCTGGTACATGTTGCCTGGGTTTATATAATATTTCATGGATCCTTTGTATCTCTATTACCAGCTGTGTGACATCGCTCCTCTGTGCCTCACTTTCCCCTTCCTCCTTCTTGAGCTGTTGTGAGATTAAATTAGTTAAAATAAGGGAGAGTCTCAGAGCAATGTCTGGCATGTGGCCTTTGTTGTCTTATTCTGGGAAGCACCTCAGAAACTTGGAGAGCAAAACCCCTCAGAATCTTATGTTTTTCATACCTTCCTGCATTTCCTGCTTCTTGGTCTGACTCGCCCAGTACTTCTACCATTGGCCAGAACTTGAGAAAACCATCAAAATTCATCAACACAATTATAATAGGGCATGATAGAAATAATGGGTTTATTTCCTTCCAAAATAAATGTCACTGGAACAAATTGTCCGAGCCACCAGCCTTATTGTCTATGAATTTATTTGCTGTTAACCTCCATCTGTATTAGTGACATGATCAATAACTGCCTATAAATACTGGGGGGGAGGTCCAGAAAGACCATTTAGAGAATGGACTGTGGCCTCTGTTACTTTGATTACTTCATGGAAGCCTGGGTAGATGTTCAAGATGGCTTTGGGGGATGATTGGAAACTCAAGTCAGGGGACAACTAGGTCAAGACAGAGTTTCACATCCCCTGGCTCCAAGTGGGACCCTCAGCAGTGTCCGGACTCATTTGAGCTTGTATGTGTGTGTGCACATACACGTATGTATGTGCCTGTGTGTCTGTCAATATATTGGTCACTTCCAATCTCTGGTGTCTGTTTCTTTTTAATTCTGTTTATGTCTCACCACTTCAGTCTTGTCTCTTTCTGAGTTTGTCTCCCTCAGACCCTGTCACCTCCTCTGTGGAGTTTCCATCTCCCACACTTGTGCATGGAGAAGTCACCCCTTGCTGTGAACCCTGCCCACAGAGGGGCACTGGCAGAAGTGAGTAGAACAGAAAGGAGTGAGAACAAATATTGTCCCTGGCCTTTGGTGACCATGCGTGGTCTACATGAATTCCACAAATGTTGAAGAAAATGTCCAGAGCTTGAATTTCCAGAAGAGGCCGGTTAGATTCTAAAGTCTGAGCATGTCCTCTGGCCAGAGTTCCACTATGGAAAAGAACATTGTGCACGGTGGAAAAGGGAAAACCCGCTTAGCTTGAGGGAGCAGCTCCTAGTATTCTTCCTGCCAATTTCCTTTCCTGAACAGAAAGCCACTGACTTCCTTCAGACAACACTTCCTGCACACCTACTACGTACCTTGGTGCTAACACCAGGCCACTAATAAAGAAGGCCCTTGAGTGCTGCTGTGGGGAGGAGAAGCTGGCCCCCCAAATCAGGGTTAACCATAAGAACAACAAGGTGCCTTCATGGAGGGATTCTTGAGATTCCTAAGGAAGGGCCAGGAGCTGGGATTTAAGCAACTTATTTCTCCACCAGGGTGCTCTGCTCAACCCTCCCAGCCTGGAGAGAGAGTTTCCAGTTCTCTGTCCATCTTGGCCCTACAGCAAGTCATGGATGAGATGAAAAGCACCTATGTACCCAGACCTTCAGGACACAGGAAAAACGAATGTCCTCGCTCCTGCAGAGACATTAGGAAATGTTACAGACCAATAGGCAGAGAGATGCCATGATGGCATTTTGTTTCCATAGAAAGGATAGATATCCCTGTAGGAATCCTGCCATGGAGGTGTACTAGCAGAGACACGTGGGGCCTATCAACAGGGACGGGGGTGGGGGGCGGGGGACAGGTGCTGGCAGGCCAGCAAACCCCTTCCAGATAGGCAACTAGTAAGTGGCAAACACTGGTTTGTCAGATCCCAAAATCCATACGCTTTCCCAATAGCACAGTCTTCCTCTGCTGAATCGATTTTATCAAGACCAAGACCATGTGCACTGCCCCAGAGTCTCAGCCCTGGGTGTTTACGTCTTCTGGCAGAACATGTCTGCAGTAGGAGGTGTGTAGCAGATGAAAAAGGGACCCAGTAGCCCCAGACTTGCAGATGGCTAGTTAGCATCTCTGGGAAGTAAAGAATGTTCCTCTCCCTGGTTCCCACGGAACTGCCCCAGGGAAGAGACGCTGATTGGCCTTACCTAGGTCATGTGCTCACTCCTAAACTAATCACAAGGAAATCCCAAAACTGATTGGCTGGCCACAGGGTGGGAAGGGTGCCAGGGTGCCATGAGGGGGTGCCCACATCTAGGACCTTAGGTAGGTGTTTAATCTTGGCTTAGAGGGTCAGGGAAGGCTTCTCAGAAAAAGGGATTTCTCCACTGAGCCCTGAAAGATGAGGAGGAGTGTCCCAAGCCAAGAAAGGGAGAACAGTATTCAGACAGGACTAGCAAGTGCAAAGGCCTGGGGATGACCCAGAGCGTGCCTTATTCACAGCCATATCCCCCAGACCTGGGGCCCAACCTGCCTTCCTGCAGATCCTCAGAGAGCTTCAGGAATGAGGTCTGCAATTGGCAATGTGGCATTAGACAAGTTACTTGCCATCTCTGAAATTCACCTTCCTTCTTTATCTGATGATTTCATCATCCTTAGGGCTATGCAAGAATCCAATTCTTTTAGTCTCTAAATAAATATGCGCCCAGCACCTCCTCCATGCTCATCACCCTAGGACTTCAGGAGACAAGGCATAGCATGGAAAGGAAAGGTACACTTGGGGCTTATGTGCATGGCTAACCTGCAGCCAGAAATCAGAAACGGGGGGGGGGGGGCACAGGGTGAGAACCTAGGACAGTGAAGATAGGATAATTGATAATAGGCTAATAGGCTCTCCATTCAGGGAGGAGTGAGGTATCTCCTAGCGATTCATGCCCTCGCCACCACTTCCCCACCCACCTATGTGAACACTGCTGTTCTGGGGCCACACTGTGCCTAGGCCGGCTCAGTATGTATCCAGGGCAATAGGACCTTCCTCCCTGTGCTTTCCCCAGGCAACTTTCCAACCTGAACAACAGGTTGTACCAATCTCCAACAGGAAGAAGGAGAAAGGAAAATGTTTCAGGTTTGGGTGACTGCAGAGGGAATACCTGCCCCACTCTGTCTACCTGTCAGAGGCGTCTTTACCCCTCCTTAACCTAGCAGGCCTGGCCTGGGCTCCAGCTCCAGATCACCCATGAACTGCCAAGGTGAGCAGGTTTGACACCCAGAAGCCTTGCAGGTGCTGGCTGGGTAGCCAGGGACTCAACCAGGAAAGATAGCAGGTGGGAAGAGCCCTCCCAGCCCAGCCAGGACTGAACTCTGTCCCTCCCCAGAAGCCAGGAAACCTGCTCAGCCTGGGAATGACAGCAAGAGGCTAGCCCCTGCACAAGGTTGTGCCCCCCCCTCGGTCTCTGTCTCTATCTCTGTGCTTCTGTTGTGTTCTTTCTGTCTCCCCCTCTCTCTCCTCATCCCCTGAATCCCTGTCCTAGACTGAATCGACCTGGATCAACTCCCTCTCTGTGCATACTCCTTCTGACAATATCCATGTCTGCCCCCCTTCTGGTCTGTCCCACCTCTGCTGGCTCCTCTACATACAGGGGACCCCACACAATGTCCTTCAAATCTCATGCAGGGGCCCAGGCTCCTGGACTGTAGGCCACACTCCATGTACTATCACAATAATAGTATACTTTTGTATCTGGTATGGGGAGAAGTGGGTAATTTGAATTTTGGGAAGTCAAAGTTTCCCAAAATGTCTGTGGGTAGAGCCAGGAGGACACCTCAGTTTTCTAACCCGGAAGGCCCTAAAGGAGTGGGGCCAGGTGGGAGGACTGATATAATCCACAAAAGGGGAAGTGGTTATACAGTTGTTGTTGTTTAAATGCTAAGGACTTATCCGGCCAAGAACCCCATGTGTACATAGGGGGAGGTGAAGAGACTTGCCCACAGTCAAAGAGGGTGTTGGGGATAGTGCCAGGCGTGAGTCCAGGTCTCCTGCCACAGGTCTGAGCCCTCGGCGGTTGGGCTCTGGAGACTATGTCTGTTGAAATGGATTCTTAGGATAAAGAAGATTCTGGGGTGAGAGGGGGAGGAAGAGTGATGGGAGCAAGGTCACTGAACTCAGAGAAACCCCCCTGCTACCCCCAGGTTGGCTGTGGGTCTAAGACAGTCTCCACAGACCTCCTGGCGGCTTTCAAAGCTGCCAAATCACTGGTAACTGCCCAGGACCTGGGGGTGACGCAAAAAAAGAGATGGGGAGGATGACCCTGCCCCTTCCCAGGACTCAAAAAGGGAGGAAACTTTGTCTCCAGCCTGCCTCTGAGACACAAAGTACTGACAGTCAGACCAGTGTCAGGGAGCGCTTAGCAGCTGGAGATTTGCACCCAAATTCTGGCTCTCACTCTTGCAAACTGAATAACCCTGGCTCAACTATTCTGAGTCTGGCTTACTTTTCCCTCTAATGGGGCCTGTGAAGATTAAAAAAAAAATACATGTAGACAGCGTCTGGTGCAAACTCACCTGTAGTATGTGAGTTTTCGTTACTCTTTATTTTGGTACATTGACAAAGATCACATAAGCTTCTGCTCTGTGGCGGTTTCACTGATGTTGGCTAGCTAGCTCAGCATTTGCAGGAAGGAAGGAAGGAGAGAGAGGAGGAAAGGAAGGATGGATGAGTGGACAGAGAGATGAACAAAGGGATGGATGGATGGATTAAATCAAAGCCTCAAAAAAAACAGTGGCTTACCAGGCTGCACTTTCTTCTACTTTCTAATCTCTGCCCTTAAAAAAGACATAGTAAATTAGATATACAATTCCAGGGGCAAGAATGAAGGAGAGGTGGAGGCAGAGAGGAAGGAGGAAAATTACCCCGACTCACATGGCAGGTAGTGAGAACCCACTGACAGGATTGATTACAAGCTCTTCAGTCTGAGGTTCCTATCTCTAACCTTCAGTCCTGTTCATTTTCAGACCTGACGCCAGTTTCCAATTTGATCTTCTCCTCTGGCCCCACACTGCACTTCACCCAGACAGGATGAGAATAACAGGTAGGCCCAGGTCCTGAGGATTCTCCAATTGGGCCCTGAAATTGATTTTGGACTCATCTTTCTGTCAGCAGTGTCTGCACATCCTGGGCTCAGAGGTGGTCTGGCTGTATCTGTTCTCAAATTGTCAGGCCAGAATTCCAGGGGGAATCCAATCTAGGAGGAGCTTAGAGGAGTGGGAGAGGTGCCCCCCTGTCACTAGGCTGAAGGGCAGGAGTAACACTGGCACAGTGGCCCCACCTGGCTGGGATCTTAGGGATTGGTCCCATTTTGGAAACACCTGGCCCTGGTTAGAAATTAGGGATAAAATATTTATCTCAAGGAGGGCTATTCTAGAATCCATAGGGCTGAGCCTGAGGAAAGCAAAGGCCTTTGTAAAGATAGGGAAACTGAGGCAGAAAACAGGGAAGGCGCATGCCTCGTTAATATCACCATACAGCTGTGAGGAGCCAGCAGCAAGTGTTTGGGAGTCAGCCTGCTTCTCTGGGTTCAAACCCTACTTCTGTCAGTTACTAGTCAAGTGATCTTGCGGAAGTGATGACTTCTCCAAGCCTCAGTTTCCTCATCTGTAAAATAATGGTAATCAATAGTATCCCGCACATAGGGCCACTGGGAGGATGAACTGGCATCATGTATGTAAAAGTTGCTCCCAGGGAACCCAGCACAAACTGAGCTGTATAATGTGAGCTGATATCCAAGAGGAACTCGGGGCATCACACTGTGCCCCAGTACACAAGAGGACCCCACAGAGCCATGCCCCACCTCACAGAACCCAGGGGTCCTTCTCCTTCACCCCAAGTAGCCAGAGACTAGCACAAGGCCACAGAGCTGCAATCAGAGCCAGAGTGATGCCACCAGGGAGGTTGCCGACTCACATGGCAAGAGGCGGGGAGGTAGGGAGACCCAGAACTGGGTCTAAGCTCTGAGGGTTGGAGTAGAAGAGGCAGACCTGATTTGGAAGACAGCAGGGTGGGTGAAATGGACCAGAAAGCTCATAAGAAAAGGGAGTGCCAGGAGGCTCACCCCTATGTGTGGGGTTGTTCCCCAATAACATGGGGGGATCAAGGAGCAAGCTGGCGGTGAGGTAGGGGAGGCTGGGAACAGTGGCTTGATTGAAATGCATGACAAACCCAGTGTGTGGCCATTTGTGGTGGCTTTGGGGGGGATTGATAGAGGGGGACAGCCTCACCTCCAAGCCACCCTAGATGCTTCCTACTATTTTTGTTTGTTTGTTTAGCAGGCCCAGGCCAGGTTTGAAGCCACCAACCCTGGAGCTTGTGGCCGGCACCCTAAACACTGAACTATGGGCACCCAGCTGAGGATGCCTACTGTTGATAACAACATCCCTCCCAGCAAGCCATGAGCTCAGTGGCAAGGGCGTTACCATGTGCTCTGTGACTGAGAGCCTCCAGCTCAGAGAGGCTGAGCTCCTGCTCAGGGTCACCCAGTGCCGCTGGCTACCCCAAGCACTGGCCACAGCCTTCCTGCCTCCTGTTCCAGGGCCTCCCAGAACCTGCCTGCTCTTCTTCTGCTGCAGTTCTCAGGCCTCACCTCAGGGGGTATATAAAAGTGGAGATTCCCCAGCCTTGTTCCTAGAGATTTTCTCTTGTGGGAGCCCAGGAAGGTACATTTTTAACTATCTCTCCCAGGAGACCCACATAATTTCACCATTTGACCACTGCATGGATTCACAAGGGGCCTTACCAGGTGGTCCCACAGTCTGGTCCACAGGGTTGGTGTGTCTAAACCTACAGCATGAGGTCTTGTGATGTGGCCTCATTATGGGGATCTGGGAAGGACTCACATGGTCTTGTAACATGGCCTCATGGCTTGGCCTAACACTGTCATCTTCTGGTAGTGTCTCCCCGCTCTGTAGGTGTGCTTCGCCTCCTGGCCCTCATCCTTGCCCTGGTCACCACGTGGCTCTTCATTCACAGCTATATGAGCTTCAACATAAAAAACATCCGTCTGCCACGCTGGCTGGGTGAGTGGGGCTCACTGCTGAGACAGGCTCTGTAGACCAGGGCTGGGGACTGAAGACATATTGCTCAGTCCATCCCTAAGTGGCCCAGGAGACAAACATGGCAAGGTGTGCACCTGCCTTTGGGTCCCCAGCCGCCTACGGGAGGGGAGAGACTTGAGGGAGGACATCCCCAGGCTGTTAGGAAGGCTGGAGCCTACAAAGATCAGAGAAGGGTTTCAAAGCCCTGGGAAACATGCATGCCTGCACCAAGGGCCTCTTTGGAAAGGTGACACCAAGGAGGAAGGGAAGAAAGGAAGGACAGAGGGAGGAAGAAGAAAAGGAAGGGAGGGAGGCAGAGAAGGAAGAAAGAAATCTGTCTCTGTGTTGAGTGCCTTCACCTGCTGCTCTCTTTCCCAGCTCCTTCTCAGCCTTCAAGTGTCTGCCCAAATGTCACCTTCTCAGGGTCATCCCTGACCCCCCAGTTACAGCCACACTCCACCTAGTTTAGCTTCTCTAGTGTCAACCTATTTCCTTCAGAAAACCACCATCATCTGTCATCATGTTTGCTTGGTTATTTGTTTTCTTGGTTATTGCCTATCTCTATCCACCACTAGAATGTGGGCTTTTGGAAGGCAAAGATTTTATTTTGTATATTTCTGTCTCTCTAGCACCTGGCACAAAGCATTTGCCTAGTAAACATGTGATGAATGAAAAAAATGAATGAGGGGATGGGTAGGTGGGTGGATAGATGGATGGGTAGATGGGTGGATAGATTATGAATAGATGGGTGTGTGGGTAGATGGATGGATAGATGGGTGGATGGATGAGTAAATGGAATAATCAACAGATGCACAAGTGGATGATGGATGCTGGTGGCTATATATGCACAATCTCATTTATTCTGCACTAATACCCCATGGAGTGATCCACGGTGTGATTATGGGATGGACTCTAGCATGATCCCTGATGTGGTTGCACATGTGGTCTGAGAAAACAGAAGCTCTGGGAGGTTTAAAAACTCACCCAAGCTCCCCTTGGAGATGTCAGAGCAAAAATGAAAACCCAGATCTAGATTCAAATCCTCTGTGATAAAGAAAGGAGGGAAGGGAAGGGATTTGTACTTCTGGATTGTCCTTACTGAAGACCAAGAACCACCTCCACTGACAGGGTCAAACATGTAGTCTGTAGTGACCCAGGCCAGCTCACAGCTTCCTAAAGCAGCAAAAAACTAGTTGCCCCATCTTTAACACAACCCCAGAGTGGAATGTCTGAGATCCTTTACCTCATCTCTTTTTATCAAGCATGATCCACAGTCCACATTAAAACTACTTATAAGTTAATGTAGACGCTTGGTGGCCACCATGTCCCCAGCCCCTGGGTACTACTTTTATAGACTAGAGCAGGGGTCCTCAAACTTTTTAAACAGGGGGCCATTTTACTGTCCCTCAGACCATTGGAGGGCTGGACTATGGGCCCCGGGACGAGTCGGCTGCTAAGCAGGACAGGCAGTGGTGGCAAAAACACCCAGCGGGCTGGATAAATGTCCTCAGCAGGCTGCATGTGGCCTGCGGGCTGTAGTTTGAGGACCCCTGGACTAGAGATTGACTTGGTTGTGCTGATGGCCTCAGAGGAGAGAAACTGGGTCAGTATAGAAAGCTCAGGTGGGAGAAGAGCAGTGGTTGAAAGGAGACCCCAGTAATTATTTCTCTCCTAGAACTCAACTATCTTGGGTTTGGCAAGTCAATACCAACAATCATTAAATGCCCATTGGGTATTGATCTCTGTGTGGAGTTCCAGGGCCCCCGAAATGAGGAACACGAGGCCTCTGCTCATGGTCTGAGTCAGAGAGACAAACAGACTTGGTTACAGAATACAGAAAAATGAAAGTGCATGAACATGATCCAGAGTCTCAAGAAATGTTTACAGTGGCAGAAAATATAATAGTGGGCAACATGATTATCAAAACCCATTCATGTTCTGGCCCCAGAAAAGGAGTAAACTTCGTTTACTTCAGTTTCCTAACCTCGGTGCACATAGCCTCACTTTGTTAATTAATGCATGAATATAGAAGCACATATATTACTATAGCACAAATTTATCTTTTGTTTTTATTGTTATACCAATATAATTCCTTTATGTTATGCATTTAATAACTTGCAGTCTGTTGAAGTAGAAAGTACTAAGTGGGAAAAAATTTATTCTGAGGGGAGCTCATAGTCTTTTCCCAAACTACCAAATGGATCCATGGCACAGAAATTGGGAGATTAAGAACGCTGATTTATCTGACAAGTTAGGAGGGGTTCTTTCAGATAAGAATGACAATCTCAGCTCTAGCTGGTTTCAACAAAACAGGATGTCTTGATGTCCACCATGGGCCTCTGACTTCAGGTGTGGCTGGATTGAGGGACCCCCTCAAAGCCCCTAGAACCTGTGTCTGTACGTACATCCCTGGGCTCTGTGTGTTGCTACTTCACCTCAGCAGGTCAGGACCTCCTTCCACACACAGCCTCCTCTCCGAGGTAGCATGGTGGCTTCCAGATGCCTGGCTGAAAAGGCATTTCTTTCTCTCTCCCCAGGGCCATATAGCAACCCAGGGAAGGACTCTGCCTCCAGAGGAATGTAACATTATTCCTGCCATTTACAGTGGCAGGAAATATAACACTGGGCTATGTGACCATCAAAACCATTTGTGTTCTGGCACCAGAAAAGGAGTAAATTTCATTTACTTCAGAGCTTCCTAACCTCGGTGCACATAGCCCCACTTTGTTAATTAATGCATGAATATTGAAGTACATATATTACTATAGCACGGGCTATATAGACTGGCTCAGCCTGGGTGACATGCAACTCCTGGGGCCTTGGAGGCAGGGGCAGCCCCCTGAAGACCAAATAGAAAGTGTGGAAGTGTGGAGGCCCCCAGAAAATGCGGGCTCCCTCTCCTGGCATTTCTGCTTCCACTGGGGCCCTGTCCTCTGGGACTTACTGCCAGTTTGGTAGGAGACCTGACATAGAACAGCAGAAACAACCAGGACATAGTATAAGAGGCGATGTCAGCAAGTGTCCAAGACCCTGCAACCCAGCGAGACAGTAGGTGTTACAGGCAGTCAGAAAAGAGATGTGTTCACACAGGCCCAGCCACCACCAGCAGCACAGTCTGCCCTTTGATGGGGCCCAGGGCTCAGCCACTGGGCTTGGCCTTTAAGACTGAGCTCACTGATCCTCTTCACAGCCCAGTGAGGGTGCTGTGATAGTCTCCATGTGCAAAGAAACTGAGGCTCAAGGAGGTAAACTATCACATACAGTCACACACAAGGAGCTAGGGCTTGAACTAGGGGTCTCAAACACATTCCAGCTTCTTTTTAACCACAAGAGAGTTGTGTATGTGTGTCTGTACATGTGTATGTGCACACATGTGTATGTCTGCATGTGTGTGTGTTGTGTACATGCATGCACTTGTGTATGAACAGCTGACAGAGGCGAGGGACATTTATTCCATTTGAATAGTGCCATCTTAAACTCCCTTCCTACCATCTCCCGGCTCCCAGCCCCCAACCTCCAGGAATGCCAAAGTGCTTTCTCTCTAATCAAATTCTGTCTTCTCTCCAGGTGGCTCTACCTCCAAGGAGACCAGTGAGTATCTACCCAGCTCAACCACCCCACCCCTGCCTTACCCACTTCACCCTCTGCTCCTGTCTGCCCTAGAGCAAAAAGGCCCCGGGTCCCAGTAAGACCTGGGTTTCCAGATTCTTCCCAGCCCTTTCCTCCTACAGTGCCTTCTGAAGCCCCCAAACTCTGTGTGGCATGGTTGGCTCCCTCTTAGCCATTCAGGTTCTCTGCATTCCCTGGTCCTCGCCACCCCACCCCCCAGTCTGGACCTCACCAGGCCCTGCCTCCTCTCTCCTATGCCCCTGCCTGGCTGGGAGCACAGAGGGCCAGGACTATGCTCCTTCTCATCACTCAGTGACCCCAGGCTGGGCTCAGGGTTCCTGCTCTGAAGTGCCAGGGGCCATATCAGGCCCTACAGAGGCCCCCAGAGACAAACGAAAGCAAGTTGTCTGTTGAGGGTAGAAGCTCCACATGTGCTGACAAGGGTGGGGGAAGCACACTGGGTTCCAGGAGAGTCACCTCTTTCCAAGGGAACAGGGTCAGGGAAGGCTTCAGAAAGGAAGTGGCCTCCCAGCTGTGCCTCCTGGAGGAGGGAACGGCCTGTGCAAAGGCCCAGATACAGGCATGTGTGGGGCTTCCCTGGGGACTGTGCTTGGACGGGCAGGGATGAAGAGCAGGAGACAGCTCTGGGCGGGCCTCAAACAGCAGCCACTGTGGAGGTCTGCACAGGGCTTCAGCAAGATCCTCAGCTCCTGAGGGGCAGAGAAGGTAGACAAGAAGTAGAGCTGTGATGGTAACAGTAGCAATGACTGAGTGCCCACTGCATGCCAGACACTGTATTCAGAACTTCAGAGGCATCTCAGGTAACCCTACATACTACCCTATGCAGGTGCTATAATGAGCCTCTTTTATAAGTGAGGAAACTAAGGCTCAGAGAGGTGAAATCCTTTGGCCAAGGTCATGCAGCTCTAAATGGCAGAGCAAGATTCAAACCCTCACCCTCTTTTCTAGCCCAGAACCCCCTCAACCCCTCTTTGTAAAAGTCCCCTCCATCTTCTCAAGGTGATGGTGACTCCGAAGAGGGCTGCAGCTCCCAGAGCAGGATTTTACATGACTAAGAAGAGCATGTAGCTCAGTGCACTGTGGGATTACAGTGAAACCTATGAATCAACACAGCATGCCCTTAGCCCCATCTCCCTGAAGCCCCCTCAGTCATATTCTGGAGTAGACATAAGTATCACTGCATTTTGGTGCTGAACACATACTTAGACATCACCTGCTGGGGAAATGGCAAATTCGAGCACACATGCTGTAGGCTACCCTGTGGTAGACATCACCAATCAATCCCAGAACGCTTTCCCTCTAAGCCCACAGGCAGCCTCAGGACTTTATCATTACCTTTAATGGTGAGTCCAAAATTACATTTAAGACGAAACTTGTTTAACAATCCTGATCTAAACCAATTCTCTGATTTCACAGTTACCCAAGATAAATGGAGAGGTTTCTGGAAAGTCACACAGCAGATTAATGGAAGAACACCCCGAGTCTCCTGACTGGGCACCCCCACCCCCACCCCCAGGGCTCTAACTAACACACCAGCACCACACCCTGGGCAATGGCACAAGAGCTCCCAAAAGGATTGGGCCTGGGGTGTGAGGCACCTGATGAGGCAGTCTTCCAAGCTAGGGCCCAGAGGGCAAATCCCCTGTCTGCCTGTGGCAGGGACCCCCTTGGCATCACCTACCTTCATCCAGCAGCTCAGCCGTGAAGGCTGGATGGTCAGAAAATCAATTCCAGAAAAGCCTGCTAAGCCAGCCTGTTGACAACAGGTTTATCAGACTTAGCTGCAGTTGATTAGGCTCTTGGCAAACTCCAAGGGTGGTCCCTGAGGCCTGGAAGAACCTTCCCCCTCGCTACTTAGGTGAGACCCTCTGGTCTCAAGAGTAACTGGCCTCTGGGTGATGGATATAGGTTGCTGGAGAGTGCCCTGGCCCACACTCCTCAGCAACCCCACAGAGTTGGGCCCTTCCTCAGCATCCTGCCCACTCTCTCCAGGCCCAAGTGTGGATGCCCACTCTGCCCTGTACAGCTCCTCCCAGGGATCTCCACTCCCTGTCTTGCTCACTGGGTGATGACATCTTGGCTTGAGCTCGGTCACACCTATCAGGTAGATGTGCTAAAACTGGGCAGAGGGAGCCAAGGAGAGGCATTTCCTCTCAGACCCTCAGAGCTGCCTGCTCAGCCCAGCCAAGGGGACTCTAATCCAGCAGGTGCCTGGTGCAGGCTTCATTCCCTTCTAGTTTACCTACTCAGTGGTTCCATGGGCTTGCCAAGCCTTGCACCAGTGGGCTGTGTCCCCTGCAGAGGGGCACATTTTCCTGACTCACCCAAAGGCCCCTTTGAGTTCAGCGAGAGCCCTGGAAACTGCATCGTCCTTCCCAGCCTCAGGCCAGCCTGGCCCAAAGGCTGTCTGTGTTCCTGTAGAAAAGATTTATTGAAGGCCTACTACATGCCAGGCACACAGTTGTGGGGACAATGTCCCCATCACAAGATAATAAATGTAAAGTGATTGCCCCAGTGCCCAGCACCCAGTACGTCCTTGGTATCTGCCAGATTTCTTAAGGAGCCCACTGTTTGCTCCAAAGCACACACCGGCAGACCTGGGCTGGACGCCTGACACAGGGGCTGAGGACAGACAAGCTCCCCAGTCTCTGCTTCCCCTTTTCAGGGGAACATTCTCTTATTCCACATTTACCCGACCTCTATATGCTGCCCTCCAAACTATCGGGTGGTGCTAAAAATCATGAATTAATATAAATTAGAGCCTGTCAAGCTGAAAGCCCAGATGTCATTGCAGCTGACAAAGCCCATTGGGGGCTGAGCCACTCAGCAGCTGTGTCTTGGAGCCCTTGTCTCCCGCTGACCACGGGCCTCCTGAATTTGCTGTGGAGAGGACGCAGGTCTTAGTAACATCTGCAGTCACCAGAGGTGCCACATAATGCCCAGTGGGTTCTGAGCACCGTGCTGAGCTGTGAGTGAGAGAGCCAGAACCGCCCACCTGCTCCCTATTTGTAGCCCAAGGGCCGGCACTTAGCAGGTGCTCAGTAACAAGGCACACATGACTGATGAGACAAATACCCAGCATGCACTGCACATTGACCCAAGCTCACTTGTTCCTCACAAGAACCCAGTGTGGAAGGCACCATAGTTAGCCCATTTTATAGATGAGGAAGATGAGGTGCAGGGAGGTTAAAGGGAGCCTGGCTAGAGTGAGGTGCTCCCAGCTACCAGGCTGGGGCCCCCAGGAGCTTGTCACTGGGAATCTCTAGAAACTCACAAAGCGGCTTGTGGCTCAAGAGAGAGGTTCTTTAAGAGAATTCCTTACTTGAGGTACCTCTAGTTACACTCAGCTGTGCTGGGTCTAGAGCTGTGACAGGAACCCAAAAATGAATTCTGGGGTACTCAGTCATGCAGCCATTATCCTGTGAGCTCTGATGGGAGACAACAGTAGATTTCCCAGACTAGTGGTCCCAAAGGCTCCTACTGGGGGAGGCCTCTGAGCTTTGTCCTGAGCCTGCTCTGTGGCCCTGTCTCTCCCATCTTCCCACCTCCTCTTCCCCCTCTGCCCTCCCCCACAGAGCCCTTCCTAAGCTGCTGCTCACCAAGGCTGATCTGTTCCCTCCCCAGAAATCATGAAGACCAAGTGTGGCCTCAGCAAGTCCTGCCCAGCCAACTTCTTCTCATTTAAAATCACCAGCGGGGCAGCCAATGTTGTAGGCCCTTCTATGTGCTTTGAAGACTACATGTAAGTACCTCAGGAGGGCCTGTGTTTCTTTTATTTCATTCATTCATTCATTTAAAAATTCAGAAGCTACAGGGGACAGGCCTATGAGACCAGTCCACACCTTCTCTAGGCTTCCTTTTACTAGAATGTGTGAGTCACAAAGAATGATCCAAACAGCTTCTGTGTCAGCCTATACCTTGCTAAGTGCGTCCAGCACATCTTATTCCTTCCCCCAGTAACCTGAGAGGTGAGGTTGTTATTAAAGATATGGAGAGTAACCCAGGACTTGACCTCAGGTCTGTCTATCAGCCAAGCTGCTGGGCTTCCCACAAAAGGTGATGCTTGTAGAGAAGGCTCTAGATCAAGACCCAGGCATCAAAGCCCAGATGTAGCCAGGACTTCTCACTGGAAGATGGAAGTTGCCAGGACTTCCATCCAGGTATAGGAGAAAGACTATATCCAATTCAGGAAAGGCCCCCAAGGCAAAAAGTTCACCCTACAAAAGAACACATGTGTTTAAGCCAGGATTCAAAACCTAAATACAACTTGTTTAGGCAAAACAAGGAACTTACTGGTTCACATATTTAAAAGTCCAGAAGTGGTGGACTTCAGGACCAGCTTGATCCAGGGGTTCAAACTATGTGTCAGAGCTCCCTCTCACACCATCTTCAGCTCTATTTTTGTCTGTTTTTTTCTCTGCTGAAAATGGACTTCTTCTGTGGTCAAAAGAGAGGCCACCAGCTAGTTTGATAGATTAGTCCAGCCAGGCACCAATGGGAAGAGAGCTTTCCTCTCTGAATAACCACTACAAAGCCCTAAGACTGGATCTCACTGACTGGCCTACATCAGTCACATGACCACTCCTAGCCCAACTACTGTGGGGGCTGAGACATAGGACATTCTGCTTATCTGAGCCTGGAGGACAGAGGTCAGTCCCAGGAACTATATAGCCTGAGAGTGGAGAAGACAAGTTTCCTGGGAATACCAGAAGATAAAGATGTGTGTGCCAGGCCAGCAGAACATGGCTGTGCTCCTTGTGGGGAACCCAGATGTCCTGGGATGGCAGGAGCTTCCTGGCTTCTGTCTCCTCCCAGCAGCCAGTCCTCCTAGTCTGGGCAGGTGGGCTGGCCCCACCTCCAGCAGCTCAGAGCCCCGGGCAGGGACCTTACTTCTTCTCCGAGCAGACTGCTCTGGTCCAAAGATGCCACAAGAAACTCTTCAGAGAATCTAACCTCCCCTAGTTTCCAAGAGAAAGCAGATGGTCCAGACTATTCCACATGTTCCTGATGCTTCCGCATACACCATGTGGGCCCTTTCGGAGTTCCCCAGTCACGAAAGCAGAGTATTTATTCTACACTTGGGACTGACTGTTGTATTTTATTTTCCTTCTTCATCTTCAGGATCATGAGTGCTGTGAAAAACAACGTGGGCAGAGGCCTGAACATTGCCCTGGTGAATGGTGAGTTTCTGTTCAGCCCCCAGACAGCTCCTACCAGGCTCTTAGCACTGGGGAAGGAGGAGGTAGCATGGCTGCCCCAGGAGAACAGAACTTCTGAAAGACCCAGTTCTTCTCCAGTCCTGGGAGGACACACTTCTTAAAACATGACCCCATCCTCAAAGCCACTGAGCTTAAACCAACAACCACAAGGCCCTGGGATCACCAATGTGAGATCACATGCTGAATGCACACTTCATGCATTCATTTGTTCAACAAATATAGGCAGCAACTACTGTGGGCCAGGCCCTGTATGGGGCACTGGGCTCAGCCAGGAACTAGAAGGACAGGCCCTGGCCTCACTGTGCCCACAGGTGTCAGTGAAGCCCACAGACAATCCCAGAGTGGACTGTGTCTCTGGAGGGGCAGAAGGCACAATGCGGGAACTGGGGTACAAAGCAGGCCAGGGAGAGTCGGGGGGAGGCTTCCAGAAGGAGGCAGTGGTCTGCTGAGGCCTAAAGGAGGGTAGCAGTTGCCAGGAGGAAATGGGGGAGGTAGGGGCAATACGGCGGAGAGGGTAGGGAAGGGAGAGGGAGGATAAGGACTTGAGGGGCAGCACAGTGTCTTTCTGGCTGAAACCTGTAAGAGGCAGTGGGGAGAAGTGAGGCTTGCAGAGATGGGCTCCTGCATGGACAGATGGGAACCAAAGGACAGCCTGCCAGCTTCCTCGGAGCCTGAGTGGGGGTGGGGTGGGAGAGGCACAGCTCAGTGCTGCTCCTTCAGTCTAAGAGAGTGCAGGCCTGTTCTGCTACAGCCTCAGGAGAGTGCTGTGGCATGGTGGCTCCTTCCATGCAGGTGGCTCAGATGGTCATCTGCACATACCAGACGCAGGATGACTGTGAGTACCTGAGGAGATAGCCCCAGAGTAGCGCCTCCTTAACAACTTCTCACAAAGCCAAAAGATGAACGTAACCATCAATGCCAAGAGAGGTGACAGTTATTGAGTGCTTATTGTATGCTATTCATTTAATTTCATCACTCTGCTAAAATAAAGTGATCTGTGCTTATCCCCTTTTTCCAGGTAAGAAATGGAAGCTCAGAGAAGCTAAGCAACTTACCAAAAATCACGCAGCCAGTAGAACCAATTAGATTCGAGCCCAGATCTTGATGACTCCTAATCACTCAGGGAACTACCTCCCTAGACTAGAAATGCCTCAAGCATATATACAGTACCTGTATGCCAACTGGGGAGTCCAACAAGTCACCTCAGAGCCTGAGGGCCCTGTCTACACAACGAACCAGAACAACAAAAGAATTGCTAAAGATTTGGTTAATGTTTAACCTTTTAGTGGGGCAGAGATTCCTTTGAGAAACTGTTCAAATTATGCCATTATCTCCCCTACAGCTACAGAAATATCCACAAACACACGTGGTCAACAAAGCAGTTTGAAGGGTTCATTGGCCCTTTCCAAGTGCCTCAATGGACACTATGTGGCTCCAAGAGTGCTGTAGAGGCTGCTACATGAGCCTTGCCACACTGCCAGCTGCCACTGTCCAGGGCTAGTCCCCACCTGCTTCCGGAAGCCACAAGCAGAGCTGCCATCCCCTCTGCAACACCTCCATCTAGTGTCAGATATGGAGAATTGCAGTTTCCTCCAAACACCCGGGTTCCTGGAGAATGTGGCTTTTTGCCTACTCCTGGCACAAAACCCCAAAATACAATTCAGATTGACTCACTGCACATCTCTCTGCCTTCAAGAGTTGGAAGACTTGGCTCGGCGCCTGTGGCTCGAGTGGCTAAGGCGCCAGCCACATACACCTAAGGTGGCGGGTTCGAATCCAGCCCAGGCGCGCCAAACAACAATGATGGCTGCGAAAAAAAAAAAAAAAAAAATAGCCAGGCATTGTTGTAGTGGGTACCTGTGGTCCCAGCTACTTGGGAGGCTGAGGGAGGAGACTCACTTAAGCCCAAGAGTTGGAGGTTGCTGTGAGCTGTGAAGCCACGGCACTCTACCCAGGGGGATAGCTTGAGGATCTGTCTCAAAAAAAAAAAAAGAGTTGGAAGACTCAAGTTGTAGATTACCTACTTATGTGAGAATAATGATGAAGATCATCATTATTCTTGTTATGATTTTGCAGCTAAAATTCATGTCATACGCAATTTTAAATATATAACATCTGGTTTACAGAACCCATTGTACAAATAAAAAATCGAGGCTAAAATGCTAAGCCATGCATTAGAAAGTGGCAGGACAGAGCACAGACTTGAACTGAGTAGATTCCGCTCGATTCCAGAGACACCCTCAGTCATTATGCTCTTACCCCTCTCAGAACAGCCCAGCAGTCACTGGGCACCAGCTTTAGTCCTGCACATTCCTTACAGGACCTGATTTCATTCAATTCTTACTCTATTCTTAGACCATAGACTACAGATGAGCCCTCTCCAGCAAACTGACAAGCAGAATAACGCATGACAGGAGTTAATAGTTCTGCTCTCTTGACCCCTAGGAACCACCGGGACGGTGATGAAACAGAGCATCTTTGACATGTACTCTGGAGGTAGGCACCTCTCCTGGCACTGAAGTCACAGGGTGGGCTGAGCCCCATTGTGGAGCAGGGGAGCCTTCAGAGTGGGTTGCTGACACTTATTTTCCACAGGAGACAACCAGAAAGAGGCACCGTGGAGGCTGCCAGTTGTCCTGCTGCCTCTGAAACTCTTTCTCCCTGTTGTCTTATTTGGGATCTCCCAGATCCTGAGACAAGAATCCAAGTGCAGTAGTTTACTTGGGAGGTGAGCTCAGGAAATGTCTGTAGGGGAGCAGGGAAGCAAGACAGTGGAAGGAAGGAAGCCAGTGCAGAATGTGTCACAAGCCGTGCCTCAGAGATGCCTCAGAGAAGAGAGGGGCGGTGCATACCCCTAACTCCTTGGCACTTCCCAGCACTTCTAGCCAGCCCTCAGCGGGGCTAAGTGGATCTGGAGCCCAGAGAAGACCTTCAGGCGTAGGAAAGCCAGTCCTGGAAGTCAGGGGCCAGGCACTGTCACTAAAGTGCTGAGGACAAGCGTGTGTGGCTCCGCCCACTCAAGCTCTACTAGGCAAAGTGCATTTAGATCCCTAATAAACCCAAGGGCAGGTCAAGGCCTCCTGAGATCCAGAAAGGACTTCTCTGGGGCTGTGAGCTCTCATCTGCCTGCACATGCCTTTCTTCTCTCTCTGCTTTCTGAGCTTCTCTGTGCCCGTGCTTGCCCCTTAGGAAGTCTCTGCCTTCCTGTCAAGACAGGGCACTGACCTACCTAGGCTGAAATTCTAGACATCTAAGATCCCACCAGCAGCTTCCTCACCAACTAGCCTCCTATGGGTGGATGGGACCTTCACTCAGCATTCCCAGTTTCTGTCAAAGTGTGGTGGGATTAGTTCCAGGCCCAGCAGGCCAATTCTGGCACCCAGCTGCTAAGCCAGCCCCCCTCTAACACAGGGGCTCAAGGAGGAGAAAAGCAGCTGATGGCAGAGATCTGGGCTCTGCAAGGACCAGATTCCATCAGGGGAGATGAGCTGAGCACCAACCCCTTCTTAGAGCCCAGATGGGCACAGTTTCCCTTCCATCTTCCTGAGACAATAGGGCCAGCTCTGGATTTGGCCACCATGGGAGCAGAGCATGTGTGACCACTGACCCCAGAAAGCCCCTCACAGAGTGGAAGGGACTTTGCTTCTGCCAACAGCTGTGTTTCCTCTCTCCTGAATCCCTCCTTTGCCTCAACCCCCATAGAAACCTCACCTTGCCTACCTAAACATATAAGCCCAGGAGTGAGAGAGTCCCCAGGCAGCAGAGAGCAGGAAGCCCTCTCAGCTCTGCAAACAGAAGGGGCTGGAATGTGGGGAATGGGGAATATCAAGAAGGTGGTCAGAAGCACCCCTCAGAGATGAGCCCAGGACTTCAGCTTGTGCCTGGCCTTCCACAAGCTATACCCCAGCTCATGGTAGAGGAGTCTGTGGGGCCAGGGGATGTGCCAACCTGCACCCTGGCCCACACCGGCCTCTTCCCAGGCATGCCCTTCCCTCATGCCGGTGACCAGGGGACAGCTGTGCAGGATGGGAGGATGGTGTGGCTGGAACTTGGACTTTGCAGTGTCCACACACAGGCAAGGCCCTCCTGGTACAGGACAGAGCTCAGACAGGGCTGAGAGGAGAGGGGGAAAGGCCCAGAGCCAAGGGCCAAGGGCCTTCATTCATTCTCTGCGCAGGTGGCCTAGGGCACATTTATGGAAAAGGTCCCACCTCTGGAGCAGGGGAGCATTCGGCATGGGTTCCTGACACTTATTTTCCACAGGAGTATATGACAGAGCTGAGGCAAGGCTGACACCTCTGGAGTCAGAGACTTCAGACTGCATGCCCTGAAGCAGCTGGCAGCTTGGGAGCCTCGGTTTCTTCCCATGTAAAGCAGAGGTGACCCTAGTGTTCAGTCCATAAAACTAAAGTGAGGACTCAATAACCTGAATAACTAGTGGGAGGGGGCCCAGCCTAGCTGGTGGAGGGGCTGGGAGAAACTAATTTAGTCTTTTCTCTTTCTGCCTCCTTCATTCCATCCAGCCGATTCAAAAGCAAGGCAGTTAGAATGAAAAAGGAAAAAAAAATTCAAAGATCAAACTAAGCCTTAAAATGAATTATTATGAATTTGGCATTATAGCTGATAGGGACCCAGAAACAGAAGCATTTTGAAAGCAAATAGCCCTCTCCCTCAGGAGACAAAAGAGAACCATGACTTTTTTAAGTGAGGTGATAATTAGCAGAAGGCACACTTCATTTTCTTTTTTTTTTTTAGAGACAGAGTCTCACTTTATTGCCCTTGTTAGAATACTGTGGAGTCTCCACAGGAATCTCCAACTTCTGGGCTTAGGCGATTCTCCTACGTCAGCCTCCCAAGTAGCTGGGACTAGAGGCACCCGCCACAACACTCAGCTATTTTTTGTTGCAATTTGGCCAGGGCTGGGTTTGAACCCGCCACCCTCCGTATATGGGGCCGGAGCCCTACTCACTGAGCCACAGGCAGCGCCCCACACTTCATTTTCTCCAAATACCTACCAGCACCCAACTGTAATATCTGCTAAGGACACAAACAAATCAATGGTGCTTTACCACCACCCTCTCTTCATCTTAAAAGTTCAAGGACTGTTTCAGCTGCAGTGGCTGACTAGAGGGCTCTGTGTCACTGAGATGACTGGCAGCTGGCCTTAGTTGAGGAGCTGATTCTTCCCCTACGTCCAAGGGATCCCCACTGGAACACTAATAATCAAGGTTAGTCTATGGGCCTTGGACCTGTGGGCAAGGCAGTGACATAAGGTCCTGTGCTTAGAAGAATGTCATACTTGGTTTGACGTTCTGCCATCTCAGTCCTGAATTTTTGATTTTTTAAATAAAAGACCCCTTGTTTTCATTTTGCACTAGGCCCCACAAATTATATGGCTCTGCTAATAAATTTTATTTCAATTAGAGTATACTTAATGTGTTCTTGAAGCATTTTCACATTTGTACCTTACAAAGATGCTATTTACAAGGCTACTGCTCATCCTCATTTGACAGATATAGTCTCTGATTTAACTACTGGGCCGCTCTTTCCAAAATTGCAGCATTTGAGAGCCTAAGTTGCCCCATATCTACAATACCAGTGAATTATTAGTATTTTCCTATAATTGGATTTTTTTTCACCTAAATCATGTCTTGAAAGGAAGCTATGTATGTTACTGCCTTAAGTAGAAACCCATTATTACTTGTTATTCAGGCAAGGTGATTACAAAAATAAATACAACAGAAACAAATCAGCATCCTCACAGCAAGTTAGATGCTGATGCCTCCCCAGGCGCATGAACCTAGGCCTGCTCTCAGTTAAATAGAGAGCTTTGCAGGTTAGGGAGGTGTTAAAGACACAAACAGAGCCTTGCTTCTTGATATAGCAGGAGAGCTGGAGTTAGACGCATATCTTTCTCACTGATCTTGGTTGTCTGACACTATGTGGTGTTCCTTCTAAACTCAGCATAGACAATCTAGACATTATCCAAAGGAGAAGGGAACCAATAGTGTGCCAAGAACCCAGAGTTCCTGAGATGATTGGTGCTTTGCCTCTGAGGGGTAGGCCCACAAAGCCCCATTCACCAGTAGTTCTTACCCCCAGCTCCACCTCATAGTCACCAGATGGAACTAGTGTCCAAAAGCTATCCCAGATCACTTGGATGATCACCCCTCACTGTCGACTGCTCACTGCCCCCCAAGACAAAGGCTGCAAGGGACTCTGCCCCAGGATGCACCCTCCTTCTGGCTTCTGAGCTCAGTATCCACCTAACCCAGGCCACTCCTGGATCATTCAACAGAGGATAGAGTGAGAATGACCAGCATCTCATTTTCTTTCCTCCCCTAGATGTTACTCACCTGGTGAAATTCCTTAAAGAAATTGCAGAGGGCACACTGGTGCTGGTGGCCTCCTATGATGACCCAGGGACCAAGTAAGTAGAAAACTCCACCTGCCAAGCTCCATGGTGATGCAGCCCAAACTCTGCATGCCTCCCCTCTCTCCTGTAAACTGCACCTTCTGGCAACTTATCCTGAGGAAATTATCAGACAAGTGCACAAAGTATCCTAGAAGGTTCATCAAAGCCTTTGTTACAACAGTGTAAAACTGGAAACTCTCTCCCTGTCCAATAATAGCTAACTGGTTACAGAAATTATGATGTGGTGACATGTGGTATATGTTATATAGACATAAATGAAGACATACTGCATCAAAAATGATGGTGCAGAAAATACTCAGGACATGGAAGAATACTCATCCCCTAGTTCTAAGTGAGGGGGAAACAAACAATAAATAAAATCTTTATGATCATTATCTCAAAGGAAGAGAGTAAGACTATATCTTTTACGTACTCCTTTTTGATGTTCTGTATTTTCCAAATGGACATGTTTTATATTTATAAACAGAAGCAGCTCTGTTTTAGCACCTCTCTAGCCCTATCAAAGCCCCTTTTAGAGAGAAAAGCTTGGACTTTTTCTCGTCCTTCCCAAGTGTGGCCCCATTCCCTGCACTCTTCACCTAGGGCAGGTGATGAACATGGCTGCAGAGGGCGGGACCCTTGGTGTGTTCTGAGCCCTCCACCCGGTGCCCTCCAACCCATCCCTGCATCCTGACCATCCCCTCTGGTCCTGTGCAGAATGAATGATGAAATCAGACAGCTCTTCTCCAACTTGGGGAGTTCCCATGCAAGCAACTTGGGCTTCCGGGACAGCTGGGTCTTCTTAGGAGCCAAAGGCCTCAAGACAAAAAGCCCCTTTGAGCAGGTAGGTTCCTGGCCACTGCCCCATCCCTGTGAAGAGGGTGGAGGGCACTGGGGATGGACGGATGAGGAGTTGGGTGGGGATGGGAAGGACAGGGGCTTTGTTAAGAGGGGTTTCTGAGGAGCATCACCTGGTTGTCATTCACTCCAAAGGGCAGGGAGGTCTGACTGGGCAGTCCCCAGAGGGAAGTGGGTCATATGTAAATACACTGGTGTCTAGATAAGTACGAAATAAGAGAAGAAGGGAAAGGAGAAAACAAGGACGAGGGGACAGTGAGGCATGGAGGGAAGAGGAGGAATGACAGAAATTCAGGCTGTGCGATGGTAGGGCGAGCCAAAACACGGGTAGGACACCTAGCTTCTGGCCCCAGCTAGGACCTTGGCATGCCCCTTCCCATACAGGCCTCCGTCTCCCCCCCGAAAAAGGAAAGGTTTGGGCCAGGGGAGCCCGAGTCCCCTTCAAAGCTTCCGTGTGGAGGGAATGAACCTGCACCCAGGGGGGATGGGAAGAGCCCACTGAGGCATGTGGAAGGAGTCTGGAGGACCATCACATGAGTGGCCCTCAGCAGAGGTATCTGAGGGGCACCCACTGGAGAAAGGAAGGAGTTGGCAGGTCCTTCAAGGGTCCCCAGGGAAATGCTGTGCCTTCCCCCCTGGCAGGCACAACCCCCGCAATTCCAGAAACCTGGGAGAACTGGCCAGACCTTCCCGGGCATAAAGTAGGCCAGCCTCTAGTGGTGAGAGCATTTATCTCTGCCTAGATCCCAAAACAGGGAGATAAGGACCAATGACTCACATATGGGACACTAAGCAAGGCAGACTATGACCTGAAGGCAGAGGAGCCCTGGGTGACCTAATGAGGAGAGTGGCAAGGTCAGATTGATAATAAGAAAGACCAGCACCCAGCAAGCCCTGGCTCTGTACAGGCTCGGGCTAAGCATTCTCTGAGAAGAGTCATTTAGTCACTATCTTACCTCACAGACAAGAAACCAGAGAGAGGCTTGGAGAGTTTCTCACCAGCTTGCTCAGATCCCAGAGTGACTCAGAGCCGCAGCTGCCCTTCTCCCCCAAGCCTGCCTGCCTCCACAGACAATCCTGTCCTTGTCCCTTAGAATGGTCTCCCTGGCTGAGCGTGCAGAACACAGTGGAAGGGAACCAAGTCCAGTGGGCAGGCAGGAGGTGGTGCAGCAGCCTGGGAGCAGGGGCTGCGAGGATACAGAGCACAGACACCAGGAATGTGTGCTGGGCTGGAAGGAGTTTTTTTCTTTGTCTGGAGTTTTGTTGGGGTTTTGGTTTTTTGTTTTTTGAAATAGAGTCTCACTCTGTCATCCTGGGGTTGGGTGCCATGGCATCATAGCTGACAACAACCTCAAACTCTTGGGCTCAAATGATCTTCTTGCCTCAGCCTCCTGAGTAGCTGGGACTATAGGTACCTGCCACAACCACCACCTAGTTTTTCTATTTTTAGTAGAGATGGGTCTCACTCTTACTATGGCTGGTCTCAAACTCCTGAGCTCAGGTGATAAACCTGCCTTAGTCTCCTAGAGTGCTAGGATTACAGGCATGAGCCACCTCGTCAGGCCAAAAATGTTGGTTTCTAAGAGAGTGTATTTGGGTAACTAGAAATTACTTTTAAAATAAGGAATCGTTCTGGGGAACCTGTGGTAGAAGAGAAAAAGCAGAGAGACCCTGTTGATACCCTCTGACTAAAGGACACAGGAGGCCTGGGGCTCCAGGGGTACATCTGGGGTTACCTGGACAAGGCCCTAGGATGAGGCCTGAGGCAGCACCAGCAGGGGTCCACTGGCCTCCCCTAAAGTGCAGGCTCCGGACACATCAAAAGTGGCCAAGACAGTTCACAAGCATAGGAAACTTAGCACCGTCTTTTATCTCTTTTTAATCAGCTCGCTGGGACCCACCATCCAAAATGAACCAAAGACCATGAGTGACTACACCAATGTGTCCTTGTTCTCACACATGGGACACTGGGTTTTAGAGAAACATATCATTATAGTAAAATTCAGAGTCACTATGTCGCCCTGGGTAGAGTGTCATGGCGTCACGGCTCATAGAAACCTCAAACTCTTGGGCTTAAGCAATTCTCTTGCCTCAGCCTCCAAAGTAGCTGGGACTACAGGCACCTCCCACAATACCTGGATATTTTGTTGTTATTGTTGCAGTTGTCATTGTTTTAGCTGGCCTGGGCTGGGTTCCAACCCACCAGCCTCGGTGTATGTGGTCGGCACCCTACCCACTGAGCAATGGGCACTGCCCTGGGAGTCTTCTTTTTGTTGTTGTTACTATTATTGTTATTTGGAGCATCCCAGGGGGCTGATGGTGAATTGAGGGGAGCGGGTAAAGCTCTCCAAGCCCCCTCCCCCAATACTTGGTGCTCCCACAGGGTATAACAGCAGGATCTGGGGTCTGATCCCATCCCGGAGACCTTGGACAAGCTGCATCCCCTCTCTGAGCCTCAGCTTCCCATCTGTGAAATGGGACAGTGATAGCCAACACCACACCTGATGGGGCTTTGGTGAGGATGGAGTGAGGCATTTAGGTTTTAAAGCACAATGTGAGTCCTACAGCCTCCCCTAGTGTCTGTATTTCTCTGTCTTCTTTCTCTCTCCAGTTGTTAAAGAACAACCCACAAATGAACAAATACGAGGGATGGCCAGAGCTGCTGGAACTGGAAGGCTGTGTGCCCTCAAAGATAGCTTAGGGTGGCCACGGCCCTTCCCAGGCCAGGGGCCTGAAGAAGCTCCTGGCTGACTGAGGAGTCAGAGCCCTGGCCAGGTCTGAGAGGAAGAGGAGCGGCCTAGCAGCACAGAGGGAAGTCTGACAGCCCTCGCACAGTGACCGCCTTCCCTCGCTGGAAACAAACCCTCCTGCTGGGCTAACCGGGAGGTGACTGGCCTCAGAGTGTCCTTCTGCGACAGCTGTCTGTGGAGAGAACAGGTGTGGTTTCAGCAGGGACTGCTGACGGCCAGTTTTGAAGGACTGACTACATGTGAGCAAAATTAAATTTTATTTTTGTTGATTTTCAACAAACTTTCTGACCAGTCAAGTTGCCACGTTTCTCTGCAGGATTGGGCTGAGCTAGACTTAGCTAGATTGGCCACAGGTTAGGGTGGCATGGTGACAGCTCTGAGCTCAGCATTGGGAAGCTGGCAAGGAGCTCGGTCTCAAAATGTGTGAGATGGAGGGGACAGATAGCACTGGAGGACAGCACACAGAGGATAGTGTCATTAGCTGCGATGTAAAAGCAAGTTGGAGAAAACCCAGGGCTGCAGAGGGCAAGGAAAGGGCAGATTTGAGACCAACTGAGAAGAACAGGTGACTGTGAAGTGGGCTTCAGGGAAAGCACCCCCTAGCTGCCTCCTTGGTGGTGCCCAGTAGCAGAGCTGACAAGAATGCCCGTGCAGCCAGTCAGGAGGTGACTCTAGTTAACACCAGTAAGGGGATGTGGGGGTTAGACACAGAAGGTGGGCAACCAACCACTGCTGTGGGTGACTGGAGCTCAGTACCCCCAGAAACCTCCAGGACTTAAAGGGTTCCCCACCAGGGGCTGAGGAGCTGGGAATTTATCTACCAACTCCCATCAGCCATTTGTTGAGGGCTGCTGGTGTTGGGGGTGGTGTGAATTGTGAGGCACTTCTTATCTGCCCTACCTAGGGAAGAGTGGCCGCCTATGGTTTCACAGTGAGCCATCAACCGAGAGGTGGCAATACCAGCAGCTAGCAGACACTGGGGCACACCAATGAGGAAGGTCCAAAGGATACAGAGCCAAGACCTGCCTGGAGTTTCTGAGAAGGGCCCAGGCCCCAGGCTTGGAGTGAGTCGTGGGAGGGGGTCATGGGAGTAGAAAGCCTTGGTCCTCAGCCCCCAGTGTGTATACTCAGGATACTGCAAGCCTCATGGAGAAGCAGTCCCCATTGCAAATCCAATCCCCACCAGTGGCTGGGGCACACAGTTCCCAAGTCCTGGAGACAAGACAGGCTTTTCTTCTCTGGGACAGAGAGGAACATAGTATGGGGCCATGGGGGCTGGAGTATGGGCTACAGTAGCAGTGGAGTCAGAATCAAGGCCCAGACCCTGGCTGGACAGCAGTGAATAGGCTTGGCTAAGGCAGTCGGCCACCCCATGCCAATGCCACAACTCCCCAACCCACCTTCAGTCACCTTCACAGATAAAAGGGGTAGCTTGCTGGCATCCCAGATAACCATTTACACCCATGACAGCATAATACTTGGAGAAACATCTGGCCAGAAACCCATTCTAGGAATGAAGGCGGCAGGAAATTTCCATTATTGCCATAAACACCTTTGTATGCTTAGAAATTTTCCTTTATAACCTATTAAATTTTAAAAGAACGAATAAAGACTTCTAAACTGGGAGCTCATGGCAAGGGACAGAGCTAAGCAGAGAGTTCCTGGCACTGGCCACTATCTTAAGAGGACACAGGACAGCCACCTGATAGTAAGAGAAGACACATAGGACTTTTCTAGAGACTGCATGGCACTATAAAGGTGAGAACATGTCAATTGGCTCAATCAGAGAATTGGGGAAAGGGTCTCACAGAGCTGAGGAAGCTTGGAAGCAGCACAGTGAAGCACAGGGGGCTGCCCAGGGCCCCCCTCTCTCCCAGCTTTCCCTCCTAATGGTCAGTCCACACACTTCTTTGGAGAACTGCCCTCATGCTACTCATACTTTTTATAATTACAAAGAGAAGCCAAGAAGTGCCAGGGTGGCACCCCAGGATGGTCCTTAGCTGATGACTGGCCAGAAAGCCCAGCTTCTTGTCTCAGGCCAAGACAACTCTGAGGTGTGCTTTACCCTCCAAGTTTCCCAGGAGAATCAGGCTGAAGCTGGTACTTGACCTGAAAGTGTCCCCTTAGTGGCCACCTCCTCTTCCTCTTCCTGATCCTTCACTTCCTTACCTGTGTCCCCCTATGCAGGGACCAAGACCTGCATGAGACTCCTCATCCCCAAGTTGCCTTCTGGGGGGCCCAACCTAAGAGAGGCACTGGGCATAGCCAGATGGATGGGACTCTAGCCTGAACTGAGTGGGGAGATGCAACATCTAGTCAGTTAGAGGGCTTGGTCTTTGTCCCCAAGCGGAGGAAACACTGAGAGATTTAAACTGGGTTGTGACTTTATCAGAACTGCCTTTGGTTGGGGGGGGGGGGTATTCCTTGCCTCCATTCAGTAAAAGGAGTAGAGGCAGGGTGACCAGTGAGGAAGCTGCTGTATCATTAGGGAGAGAGGGAAGCAGTCTAGTTCAGGAGAGGGTGTTAGATGTCCACGGATGGAAAGGTGCCACAAAGAACCAGGCCAAGGAGAGTAAACAGCAGAGTTACTAAGAGCATCTTACAAGGAGATGGGCTACAATGAAAAGAGTGGATCAGGGTAAGGGGCCTCTTTTATTTGGAGTTGAGTCCTGTTTAATGAACATTCTGGTGCCCTTCAGGAGGTGAGGTATGTGTAGTTCAGAGGTGGTGGGTGTGCCAGTCATAACCCAGTAACTCCCAATGTGGTGCAAAAGACCAAAGGTCATCTGCTGGAGGCCTGGTGTAGGTCAGAGGGTTATCTACTGTGCATCTTCTACAACCTGGAAGGAATGTGTCACAGAACCAGAAGGAATACTGAGAGTCTTCTTTGCTTAATGAATGTCTAGACCCCTCCCAGGAGAGAAAGACTAACTCGCCTATTTGCTTAAGAAGAGTTGGGACCATCCTAGCCTTCTGGGATGCCAAGGCGGGTGGATTGCTTCAGCTCCTGAGTTCTAGCCGGCGTTGTGGCGAGTGCCTGTAGACCCAGCTACTCCGGAGGCTGAGGCAAGAGGGTCACTTGAGCCCAAGAGTTTGAGGTTGCTGTGAGCTGTGACGCCAGGCAAGTGAGACTTTAATCTCAAAAAAAAAAAAAAAAAAAAAAAACCCAGAACCATGGAGGTAGAGGAAAACTGACAAGTCCTAGTCTATTTTTTACCTAATGAGTGTTTAAACGCCCCAGCCCCAGGTAGAGCCTTGCTGAGTGTTTATTCTCGCAAGTAGACAAAGACTAATAGGGGGTAGGGGATGGGGAAATGGGGGCCTCCCACGGATATTCGATAAGTAAAATGGGTAACACTTGGAACTACCCATTGGGGTAGACAAGCCTTCAGCAGTCTGTGCAAGCTAATAATGGCCTCAGAATTTGCGGTTTTATTTACTCTCCTGGCCCTGCAATGAAGCCCCCGACCCTGCGAGTGAGGAGGGGACAGCGGGGGCGTGTGTCTGTTCCCTCCGCCTCAGGGGAACGGTCCAGGAGATGTAATTCTGATTCTCGCCAGTAGGTGTCAGCGCAAGCTAGAAAGGAAGGGCGAGGTTCCCCCCAACCCTCCCAACCCTCCCTCCTCCCCCGGAGGGCGATGCGCTCCAGGACCTGGCTGGCGGGGAGCCGGGATTCCCACTGGCCTGCAAAGTTGCCGTTTGTATAGGGTGACCAGATTTTAACATCTATAAGGCGGGACAACATGGCCGGGGGGCGGGGCGGGGGCGGGCGGGGGCGGAGCCTGACAACAATGCAAACTTTGATAAGCAGTTCTCGATAATCACTTCTCAGCAATTATTTATTACAGTTTAACATTATAAAATTAACAAAAATAATATAAAACTCATATTCTGGCGAAATAGCCATATGGTGGCCCAAAACCGTATATTCCCTTCTTGTTCTCCAGCCCATTCGTGCATTCTTTCCAAAAATCGAGACTTTTTTAAAATGCCGCGGGATGCGGGACAAATTGTTGAAAAGCGGGACTGTGCCGCCAAAATCGGACGTCTGGTCACCCTACGTTTGTATTATCATGTTAACAGCGCGATAACTGCAACACGTATGCCTAAATTCTATGTGAAATTGCCATTTTCCAGATGCTCTGCTCAGAGCTTTACATGAATTATCTCATTTCATCCTCACAGCCCCTCATTCATGGGCTGGGAGCTGTTCTTTATTCCCTTTCACACATGAGGGAAATGAGGCTCAGAGAGGCCAAGTGATTTGTCCAAAGTCACACAGGTAAGGAGCTTCAGAATAAAGATTGTAATCCCAGGCTGTCTCCATCACTAAATGAAACAGAAACTAAAACTACTTTGAGGTAAACTGTGTATCTCCTCCTCCCCTTCCTCCCCCTCCTCTCCTCTTCTCCCTTCCTCTCTTCACCTCTTCTCCTTCCTCCCTCTCCTCCTTGCCCTCCTCTCCCTCCTTTCTCACTTCCCTTCCTCCTACACTTTCTCCCCTCCTCCATGTCCTGCTCCTCTTGAACACAAATCCTGAGTAAACCTTCTCCATATCCACCATCATTGCTCTAGGGGAGATGGGGGGGAAGTGGGCTTAGGGATTAGAAACGCCTCTTTGTAAAGCTCACTCATGCTTTATGAGCCTTGCTTCCTGCCACAAGGCTATGGATCAAGGAGGAGCAGATGCTTAACCCCATAATACAGATGGAGAGAGAGAGGCTAAGAGATGTACCCAGACCACACAGAGGTATGGGCAAGGATGAATCTGTAACACCTGATCCTTGGCCCTCCACCCTCCCCCTCACTCCATAAGTCCTCTGTGAATGTCTTCCAAGTGCCTCCCCTGTGCCAGGCACTGTGCTGGGCTCTGGGCTTCCACCCTAGTCCTCCTGCTGGTGCCATGTGGTCTGAGAGCTGCATTTGGAACCTTCTTGCCAGGAGCTGGGCTTCAGAGCCCCACTGAGGGCTCCACCAGCCAGGCTTTCAGCACAGTACTAAGTCATACTTCAGCAGGACTCCAAGCAGATGCGAAAAAATTAACAAATGTGTAAAATTTCTTTTCTCTCCTCCCATCCCACCAAGAGCCAAGCTGGTGGATAATTAGGGGATAGCTGCCA